AATTACTTCTGGCAATGATTCATGTATGTTGCCTTTATGCTACAACCTTCATTGACATTTTTGCTTTGCTAAACTTTAATTTTTGTAGTTATCTTTATGTGTTGACTTTATGTGTGTACAAAAGTCGATCTACTACAGTATGAAATGCTCAGCATTCCATTTTTTTTCTATATTCAGTGTTTACAATGCCGCTATTATTACTACTACTAATATTACTAACTGACTATATATATATTTAGTATTATCAGTTGACAATGTCTAACTAATTCAGAATAGTTAAGAAGGAGGTTGATTGCCAGAAGCAAGTTTCATCTAATATAGAACAAGCAGAAAAGTTAAGTTGAGGTGATGAAAATAGCCAACCAGAGACAAGTAACAATTGTAATCAGAGGCAGGAATTTGAACAAACGTCACACTTCCTTCAGTTATCTCCGGCTAAGACATCATCATTTCTACTGAAAGGAGACAGCACAGGGATGAGGATGTTGAGTCTACCAGTTAGGATCGGAAATCAGTGTGTAAATCTTCTGTACACAGCAAAAACAACAAGATTGCGATTTTTAACACTCGTGTTAAGTCAGTGAGTTCTTTCAAGTGAGATTCAAGAAAAGTGGAGCTATTTCAGGCTGTCATCAGTAGCTACCTTCGACGGCGTCATACCCAAGATCAAATAGTCGTCCAGAAAGAAGTAACAACAAAGAACTTTTCAGGAGAAAAACCAATCAAGAATCTATTGCTAGAGATAGATTGAATATACACTGGCGGGAAGGATGTTCGGTGATATCGCTGGCCATATCATTATTCAAACAGAAGTCATATAGGAAATGATGAGTTGTGCGTGTGTCCAAAGGCGACATAAATGTGATCATATGAAGAGGAGACAAAAGCATATGGACAAGCGTGGAGCCAGTGTAAGAGGACCCTGGAGAACAGGAGGAAGTTGAGATATGCTGTTGGATCACAATGTTCCATCAGAAAACCCAAGGGAATTATACAAATTATGATGCACTATCCAAAACCAGAAATAAGTAAATAATGTCATTTATGTGGTGATTCCACAAAAATCTTGGAGTATCTAGACTTTGCCGATAACATATATATACGTCGGATTTCCCAAAAACTGGAAGATATGCAAGTGAAAAGCTACAAGGTGGCAGAAGAAGCTCTCAGGAAGATAGGACTTCAAGTGAACGTAAAGAAAACAGAGATGGTGAAGATTCCTGGTCAACACCAACAGAAACTACAACAGACAACAATCAGCCAGCATAAATAGGAGAAATCTGAAAAAAGATATTTCTTCTTTTACCTACCTACCTGGGAGCACAGATCCAACTACAGGCGGAACTGACGAGGATATCATCAAAGCGCGGATCATCGGGGAAGCAAGGCAAGCTTTCATCGCTATCAAGTCTGTGTGAAGGTCAACAACACTCAGTATGAAAAATAAGATCCACATATGCAACTCCAACATGAAGTCACTGAGACTATACGGATCAGAGACTTGGCCAGCGCGTCATAAGGAGCGCCTCAAACAGACTACAGACCCCCATCAACAGCTGTCTTCGCCCAATACTTCGCTCACGGTCAGATGACCGGCCGGAAAACATCAGCAATGGTGAGGGATCTCTGGCAATGAGCCAGCCAACCCACTAGGAACAGATTGTGCAACAAACATGAAGGGAGAGACGGAGATGAATTGGCTGGCCCTACACTGAGAAAACAAACCACCAAGTGACATCACTCCCCAGAAGGTCACTCGAGTGGAAGCTGAATGAGAAGTGGCGAGTTACTTGGTCGTCAGCGCTTGGGTGACATGCAGGAGGTCATGCGAAGAGGAGATGAAAGTATATGGGTAGTCAGGGAGATAGATGAAAATGATGACGGAGAATTGAAGGTAATGGAGACATTTGGCTGAAGCCGTATGTTCCTCCAAGAACTAAAGGAAATAATAATGGTAAGTTGGTGATTGCTACTAGTGGAAGTCAGGCTGCGCATTCTAGCTTATTTAAGACTGGGCATTCACTAAAACCAGAGTGGGCGTGCCTGGATATCTGCCCAATGGAGCTCGACTACATCTTCTATCAGCAGCTGAAGTGGTGCCAATCAGTATCAATGAACCTAGTCTCTTATTGAATTGAATTTTTGATTTTCCCGTCGATTGATTGGACCGAAGTGCTCGGTCTCAGGTTGACATGTCTGTCGGCTTCTTGTGCAGATGCTTCGACGATGTCTGGGTATTTAATTAGTATACAATTGGTGGATGGTGGCTAGCAGTGGAATCCAGGATGCGCATTTCGTCCTAATTGGGACTCGTCATCTGGCTGTACCTGCATTTCTCAGTGAGTGATGATGTTCCCACCGAGGCTGGAACCCAGTACCCATAGTTTCAAACGCCAAAGCACAAGAGGTGGCTCTCGTGGCCCAAGTGGTCTAGTGGATAACGCTTTGGCGTTTGAAACTATGGGTACTGGGTTCGAGCCTCGGTGGGAACATCATCACTCACTGAGAAATGCAGGTACATCCAGCTGACGAGTCCCAAATAGGACGAAATGCGCATCCTAGATTCCACTGCTAGCCACCATCCACCAACTGAACCTAGTCTCTGTAGTCAGAAGAAGTATGTCCATCCGGCATGTTTACCATGGGCTACGATAAAGTCAACAAATCCTTCATAAATATCGGAGCTTTAAAATCCTATCCCATTTTATATTTTTTAATTTTGTTCCATTGACATTGACGAATATTTCTGACCTTTTACAACTTCATAACCTTTCTTATGATTTCTATTCCCTTAAGTTTCAGTAATGCTTTCCTAACTTGTTATTATATTTACACAGTCAAGTTCATTTCACTTCACTCAGTTCATTAATAACTTGATCATCGTTCACTAATTGTACTTTTAAGGTTACATCATACCATCACTATTGATATTTTTATTAGTCACTTTTGAACTTACATCTAATCTACCCCATTTATTGGTTTATATTTCTGTAGTAATCCTACTGTCCCACACATACACACACACACACAACACTGATTGAACTCACCCTTGTAACCTGTACTTTTGTTGACTACAAATACACACATCATAGATTTATTATTTCACCTCATTTTATCTCATGTTCTTTAGTGACTATACATTGAGTTCTAAATGACATTCAGACCTCACTGACTGACTATGATTAAAAGTCAATCTGAACGAAGAATATTCTTTATTTTGACACCCCATAACTGCTAATCTGTTATTCTACGTTAAAAATGTATCCGCCGCATAACTGACCTTTATTGAAACGACCACAAATATTATATTTCATAATTGTCAGAACCTGAAGAGAAATTATTGAAAGGAATATTCTTCGTTCAGATTGACTTTTAATTCATAATATGGGAATATTTCACACTATCAAATCTTATGACTTTGATTATTTGATCTTTTACAAGTACACTTTCTGTTAATATACTTCTAATTTATGTTTACGAGTTGATCACGGATTGAACCATTGGAAACCGGTATTGGGACACTGGACAGCTGCTTCATCCTAGTTTTAGGAATCATCGGCAGTACGATTTGGTAGAAGTTACAAATTTATGGCTAAGCCATTGAATTGGGTCCCACTAGCTAAAAATGGTATACGAGCCAGCTCACCTTGTAATTCGAAAGTCCTGTGTTCGAACCCCCAATAGTGGGTGCGTACTGCCAATGATTTCAAAACCAGGCTGATGAAACAGATGTCCAGTACTCTCTGTGGGCTGGTTTTCAATGGTTCTGTAAATGATATCAATTCGTGATCAACTCGTAAAAACAAATCTACGTCTTACAAACCAACTATAGAAAATTCTGTTTTACTTTTACTGGCTTTCATAAAATGGATGCACACAAAAACTTGGAGAATCTGGACTTCGGCGATGATATATGTCTGATTTGCCACAAACTGGAAGATATACAAGTGAAAAGCAACAAATTGGCAGAAGAAGCATCAAAGACAGGACTTCAAGTGAACATAGAGGAAACAGAGGTGATGACGATTCCTGGCCAACACCAACAGCAACAACAACAACAACAGACAGCAATCAGCCAGCATAAATGGGAGGAACCTGAAAGAAATAACCTCCTTTATCTACCTGGGAAGCATCGTTTCAACTACATGCTGACGGAACTGTCGAGGATATTAAAACAAGGATTATGGGGAAAGCAAGACAAGCTTCCATTACTCTCAAGTTTGTGTGGAGGTCAACAGCAATCAGCATCAAAAATAACATCCGGAATTTTAACTACAATGTGAAGTCAGTCAGTACTACTATACGGATCAGAGACTTGCACTGCGCGTCATAAAGAGCACCTCAAACAAACTACAGACCTTCGTTAGCAGCTGTCTTCGCTCAATAATCAAGACCAGATGGCCAGAAAGGATCAGCAACAGGGATCTCTGAGAGCGAACCAACCTAGCAGGAACCAATTGTACAACATATAAGCAGGAAGAAATGGAGGTGGATTGGGTGACCATACTCCGAGAAAACCATCGAGTGACATCACAAACAAGGCGTCGTTTGGAACCCGAAATGCAAGCGTCGAATTGCTCGTCCAAGAGTGTCTCGGAGGAGGTCATATGAAGTGGAGATGATAGTATGTGGGCAGGTGGACGTGGAGCCAGGTGAAAACGTTAGCAGAGAACTAAACACAACGGAGACGCGTGGCTGAAGGCCTATGTTCCTCTAGGAATTAAAGGAAATAATAATAATTTACTGGCTTTTGCACGCGAAAATTATTGGAGAAGAATTTACTAACAAACAGGATGAAACGTGCATCCTGGATTTCACTGCTGACCTTTGGTGACCTAATATTATTCAGATATCATCGAATCATCTTAAGTAGGAGATGATATATCAATAGAGACCAAAGCATTTCGATCCAGAGAAAATAATTCAACAGGAAATTCAAGTTAACTTTAACAATTAATAATAATAATAGTAGTAATAGTGATAATCAATAAGTATTTTACCTTTTGATGACAGTTTACAAGTAGTTTGTAATATTTTTGATAAATCTTTCATTTCATGTAACCAAAATTTACATTGATCACGTCGTAATCCTTTAGTAGGTGTTAATTGATCCGTAATCACTAAATGATCATAGTCGTCTGTTAAGAGTTCATCACTTCGACGATATAATGGCCATTGTGGATTAATCACTTCACCAGTTTCACTTCGAGATGGATTTCTGTACAGAAATTAAACAGACAAATGTAAAATAAGTTGGACATATATATAAGGCAGCTTCCAAATAGAACCTCAGGTTCACTGACTGAATACGGCCAATCACTAGTGGCCATCAGTATGGTTTTTTGCCTAGATGAGTGGAGGATTTCATCCTGAGTTAACATCACCTAGAGAACCATTGAAAACCAACACTGGAGTACTGGATGGCTGTTTTGCCAGCCTAGTTTGGGACTCTTCGTCAGTACGCATCCACCACAGGGGGATTTGAACCCCGGACCTTCTAGTTACAATGTGAGCTCGTAGACCACTGGGACTCAATCCAATGGCCCGTGAATTCTAACCTCTGCCAATTCATGACATAGAACGACCACTTCGCAGTGGATCGGTTCCCAGTGGCTTAATGGTTTAACGAGCTACCTGGAGACTAGGAGGTCCTCAGTTTGAACTTCAGTGGGTGTATACAGCTGAAAAGTCCCAAATTAGACGATACACCTACCCCGAAGTGAAGTACTGGTTTTTCAATAGTTCGCCAACTAATCTCAGCTCATGATGAAATCGCCTGCCACTTGTTTCTGTGATTTGATTTGAACTCATCGCATTGTTATTCAATCAATTAGTTACTCACTATCTTGTTCACCACTTGTCTGCATTACGCAACTTGTTTGCCAGCAATAGTATTCAAGCCTATATTTCTGTTCGAACTGGAACTTTCTAGATGTAAACAGTGTGTGTAATTTCTGAGGACTATTTGTATAATATGGAGTCTCCTGTCATGTGATATTATGTAACAATGACAAGTATGTTGAAATTGTTCTTCACACGGACCTAGTAATTTAATGATATACGGTGATTGGAGGCAATCAGGAGGAAGTCTTGGACATAGGTGTAGTGCTAGTTGGTACTTATCAATCAGCAAGACGTAGCTGCAGTGACCTTAAGGGACTCATGTCCCTTCTGAGATTCGAACCTGCGTCACTCAGTTCTTTCTGCCTGCAGTCAGATACCTTACCACTGAGCTATTTGGGCTGACAAATGACCTCCTCTGGGACTGACTGTATTGGATATATTTGACTGAACACTAGTTAGCAACTAGTGTGATGTGTCTAGTCTCTTCTTCGGTGAAGACTGAATTCTGTCAGTCAGGTATGAAATGTGTCCATCATTCTAGGTCACCATCCAATATCATCAAAATCAGTGTACACTCTGACGGTGAGCTACCTAGAATGGTGGTCACATTGCAAACCTGACTGACTGATAGAATTCTGTCTGCAGTAAACAAAGGATTAGAAACATTACACTAGTTACTAGTATTCAATCAAAGAACCAAGTAATTTCTTCGGGTTGTGCACAGCTGATGGGAACCCAACAAAATAAATGATGGCACCATTTTATTCCACGCAGACTGCTTTCCTTGCTTTATCCAAATTCTTTATGGGGAATAAACGCAAGAAATAACATAATATTACATCCTTCATTTATTTATTTATTCAACTATACTCCCTGACGCTCTAAATTTGTCTAGCATCCCAGTAATGCATCGGGATATGTGGGCAACGGATACCACATTATGTATGCTACAACAGTTTAGAGTTTCGGGGCTACTGTAAATTTATACAAAAGAGTGATCACAATCAGATCTGATCTATAGATTCAGTTGATTATCACTTTTCATTAGAACGTTGTCTTGAAGTAAGGCACTAATGTAGTATGATTTAATATTTGCATGTTAGATCTGTGTCAATAGAAGAACAAAAAATGAAGGGTAAGCATGTTAGATGTACTCAAAGTAGCCACTATTACATCTTACAACATTTTATACACAGGCTGACAGAATTTATCCAAATACACGTGGCTGCAGTCACTTTGCATGGAGGAAGATCTCATATACCGCAAAGCGGCACTAATGAAGATGTCAAGGAAGTAAAGGATCGAGGAATACGTAAAAGGATATGCTCCAGAAGAGACCTCCAAAGCCTCAGGATGGTCGAGGGTGGGTGTCTTGCGCTGCGGGTTGGCAACCCCTCCGTACACCTCTTGAAATGCTCCCATATGACCGGGCGTCTTACATAGCCTCTCCTGAGGAAGTCCTACTCACCTGCCTTCACGTGGCCGAGGTGTTTTTCACCAAAGTGAGAGGGCAAAAGCGGATGACCGGCGCTCTTCACTGGGTTGACTGTCCATTGGATGACAGTCTAGGGGAGATGGCTAAACCCTGATTCCAAACCTCCAACGACTGGCGTATGAAGCTCACCGGAGTTCACCGGCAGACGTATGGACAAAGGGCTTATTGGATGCCCTGGATGACTGGCCCCATTCAAAAAGGCGAATGAACCGGACTCCGGTCACCGGCTTCCAATGGATAGTGGACTCCCTACTCCATTCCTACTGCCCTGTAGGTCACACTTGGTTGTGTAAAGGCTAGAGCTGCACTGTCAAACAAAGGCCTAGCGATGCTGGGGACATCACTCGTACCCAATTCCCATGAAACTTCATGGTTCATGAAGCCGGCTTATCCTCCCGTAGGAGATAGCCAAAGTAAAGAAGAAGAAGACTGAATGACATCGCGTGTCAAGGATGTCATCGCTTGGAAACCGAACAGAAAGCAGCCAGTTGACTGTGTGTGAGGATGATATGAGGGAGACAGTGTGCTTATGAAATGACATGTTTTAAGCAAGGATGGAGTTATCTAAAACAGGACAGCAGAGAACTAAATGCAGCGAAAATGTCTTGCTGGAGCCCTATGTTTCACTCCGTATCCAAGAGATGAATAAAAATAATACAGTATAACATCGATTTGCTTATCTGTCTTTGTTTTTTATCCATTTATAGGAGGGAAGGGGAAACTATAAATCTATGGAATTGAAATTATCATAAAAAGAATTTTCTTCTCTGAAATATTTGTGTGATGCGCTCATAAGAGGATTAAATACCACTTTCCACAGTAGAAAAAAACAATGAAACACTAGTCAGTGATTTTTCAAAGTGAGTAATGATTTAACAAGAGCTAATTTGTAGGGATTTGATTTATTTCAAGTTTTGGTTTGGGATCGAATCCCAGTGTGGTGAGAGCAGGCTGCTAGCCGATTGGTTGGCACTAATCTACGTTAAGGTCTAGGTCACTAATATGGGCCGTGAGAAAATATGAACAAGGCTGAGTCAACAACCAATCACAGCAAAGTTAACGTGGCAAAATATGATTCGCAGATAGAGAACTCTATTTGTCAAGGAATCCCGAAACAACCAACCAGAAGTCTGCGTTTGTCTACCTAAAAACAACCAATCAGATGACTGCGCTTGTCTATAATAATGTAGTTGAAATATGTATAAATACGTGTTGATTTTCATAATAAAACGATCTGTTGCCTGGCCCTTGTCTTCTGTTGTTACATTTGGTGTCGCTGCCTACCGACAAATGAAAAGCCTATACCCTGCAGTTTTTGATGGAGACATATGGATCTTCGGGCAGGACTTCAAGGCTTCTGCGCAGTTGAGTGGCGTTCAAGATCTGTCAGCGATGGAGCTGCTACTTGAGACGCTGCTGGGAGGTCGGGCGAAAGCAGCATATGAAGGTGTGGGCCGAAGTATGGACGAATGTTCGACAGGGTCAGGCAAACAGTTTCCAAAGTGGGAAGGACCATATACGGTCACTTCGAGATGGGGTTACGCAGACACAGTCGCAATGGCGAACAATGAGAGGCGCGTGAACGCCAGCGAGCTCCAGAAATGGATACAGCGAGACAAGCCAACGATGACGCCTGCACCAAGTAGATCAAGCCGACTTCAGTCACACGTATTTGACGGGGGGACGAGTGTGGTGAGAGCAGGCTGCTAGCCGATTGGTTGGCACTAATCTACGTTAAGGTCTAGGTCACTAATATGGGCCGTGAGAAAATATGAACAAGGCTGAGTCAACAACCAATCACAGCAAAGTTAACGTGGCAAAATATGATTCGCAGATAGAGAACTCTATTTGTCAAGGAATCCCGAAACAACCAACCAGAAGTCTGCGTTTGTCTACCTAAAAACAACCAATCAGATGACTGCGCTTGTCTATAATAATGTAGTTGAAATATGTATAAATACGTGTTGATTTTCATAATAAAACGATCTGTTGCCTGGCCCTTGTCTTCTGTTGTTACACCAGGACATGTGCATGGTTGACCAGCATCCTAACTGCTGCGCTACCGAGGCAATTGGAAAACCTTTGCAATCAACAAAGGATTACCAAACAGATGTATCATCCTAATTCGCAACTCTTAATCAGTAGGGGGTTCGAACCGAGGACATTAGAGCTACCAGTCAATCCTGTAGAACATTCAGCTACTGGACCTCACTGATCGGTCCAACTTCTACCGATTCGTGACTTCAGCGCAAGTGGCATCAGTCACTATCATCGATTGAGAGTATTTGTGATCACGCATGACCTGGTGAACCTCACTGATCAAGACGTATCACTAGAACTTGAGTCAACGTTTCCCTGTAGCAAGCTTGGGGTAAAATTTTCAAGGGTTTCTAGTTTTGTTCCGTAATGATAACAGCTATAGAGCTACTGAAAGGAGGGAATACCAAAGAGTTGTTTCATCCAAAGTTCGGGACTCTTTGAGTGATGCACGTCAAGATCAGCAGTCTCGAAAATTCAAGAAACTTTTATAGATTTGGCTCCCTTGATAAGTTTCATTGATAAAAAAAAGTTCAGATATGCAGTAAAATATGTGATCTCATCATTCTATTTCATAGGTTCTCATCAGCTGCTGCAAACTGCACAAAATTACAATGGTTATCAGTAATGACAGTAACATACTTCAGTGTTTGAATAGCAGTAAGAAAAACATTACAAAATCAACGCATACGAAATACAAGGATTACAATCCCTTTTGGGTTGATTTGCCTTCAATTTTTGCGCTTTCAAAATAGAGACAGAGTTAGGGGAAGGGGGAGAAGATAGAAAACCGAAAACTAATAAACAGTATTAGCTTGTAGATTCACATAGCAACTCGATTAGGCTATGTATGGCTCATACAATTGTAGACATGCTCAGTGAGATGAACTCACTAATACAAATGACTGATCAATGTAATCGAAATGCAGTTACCGAAGGGAATGAGACACCTTGTATATATGGATCAGTCACCGAGATATCTAAATCCTTCAGAATATTAATCCTACAGAAGACATCAAATATACAACGATTTACTGATGAAGTCATTGTTTTCAAGCATTTCAAACCATATATATATGCATACACAAAGAGGGAGTGATAAATCTCTCATTCTCCCTTGTTAACTGCATTTCCATTACATTGATTAGTCATTTGTAATTAGTGAATTCATCTCACTGAGCATGTCTACAATTGTATGAGCCATACATAGCTTTATCGAGTTGCTATGTGAACCTACAAGCTAATACTGTTTATTAGAGTTTTCGGTTTTCTATCTTCTCCCCCTTCCCCTAACTTTGTCTCAATTTTGAAAGCGCAAACATTGATGGTAACTCAAACCAAAACGTATTGTAATGCTTATATTTCGTATGCGTTGATTTGATAATATTTTCCTTACTACTCTTCTAAACTACTATTGAAGTGCGTCAGTGTCATAACTGATAACCATTGTAATTTCGTGTAGTTTGCAGCAGCTGATGAGAACCTATGAAATAGAATGATGAGATCACATATTTTACTGCATATCTGATCTTTTTTTATCAATGAAACTTATCAAGGGAGCCAAAAGTAAGAATTTTTTATTCAATGTTCCCTGATTGTCAATCTTGGCATACCACTTAAAATGATGACGTGATAAAATGAGATGCCAAAGAGCTCCGGACTTTGGATGAACCAACTGTTCAGTATTCTATCTCTTTCAGTAATTCTACAACTGTTATCAATACGAAAGAGGACTTGAAAATTAATTTTATGCTAACTGGTGACTGACTACAGGTAGATGCTGACTGAAGTTTACCAGGTCTGGCGTAACCGGTTAGTCTACCTTCGACAAAATTCTGTAAACAGTATACATTTTTGCATCCGATTTTTAGTGATTAAGCTTGACTAAATGTTCATGGTTGTAGGTAAATTAATATGAAAAAAATATATATATATGCGGTATACGGTATTGTTTGTGCGTGTGTACATTAGGAAACATTTGTAAATCATTTCCCGGCCTCCCCGTAAGTAGATATCAATCCATAGTCAAACTTTTAAAACCAAATTTAATCTTTACAAACCAACTATAGAAAATTAATCTGGTGCTTGCTAGTGACTTCGACAGGAAAGAGTTTCCTGCAGTGATTTCTAGTGAGAAATCGTAACCAGTAAGGTCAAACCAGTCAAGGGTGAGGATGGATATCCCAACAGTGACATTGGCTGGTGGTCGCGTTTAATCAAGAATTGGTATAGAAGTTAGAATTCGTGGACTGGTCATTGAATAGAGTCCCAGTAACTGCCTTGTAACCAGAAGGTCCTGGGTTCGAACCTCCTCGTGGTGGGTGTGTGCTGCCTATGATTCTCAAACTAGGCTGATGAAACAGCTGTCCTGTACTCCCTGTGGGCTGGTTTTCTATGGTTCTCCAACTGATATCAATCCATGGTCAAACTCGTAAAAACGAAACTGATCCTTACTAACTGTAGAGAATACAGATTCACCTCACAATATCGTTTCACAGGCATACAACACGGCTACAAACACTAAAACCTTGTAGACTAGACTGCCGATGACCATACTGACATTATAATGACACTATAACTGACCCATATCGATTTAAGCCGCACTCTGACGCCTTTTTTATACACCCGGAAATTGCACTCATCACATATATGCTAACAGTGAGAAAGCTATTCAGAAAGACAACTTTTTAAATTACTTTTAACGGTTCATTTGAGTGGGAGGTTGAAAGCATAGGCTGTTATACTCTACTTTGAAGTGAGTCTGTGTTAAGCTCAGGTACCATGCCCCAAACTGGTTTAATCTTGCCTACATTGTATATATATAAACGCATAGATTCTACAAAATTTGTGGAAGAAATTTTCCGGAGGTGATGAAGTTTTTATATATATTTGTCGTAAAATCAACACACTTAAATTACGTGAAGAAACTTACCCAGTTTTAGCAAAATTTGTCCATAATTTCATTAGACGCGAACTGAGCAATTCTTCATCTTGAGTAAAGCCATAAAATTCTGAAGAGAAAACTGGATCTTTTGGCATACCGAATATATATTCAATTTCATAACCATGCATAACTCCAGTCCACTGTGGTACAGGTAACGATTGCGTTCTCTTCTTAAAATGATATAGGTATACTTTTGCCCTGGTAATCTTGCTGCTTGATCAGCAAAATTTAGTGTAGGACAAACAAAGTCCAGATCACCGGCTAATTCATCCAAACGTCGAAGTAATTCTTCACCAGTCAGCATCATTGTATCTGGATCGAAATAACCATTCTCTGGTGTCGATTGAAGTGGTAAATTATAATAATAAGCTGGTAATTTAGCCAAGCCAGGTCGCATTTGTGCTTCTTCTAGGATTTGTGCTGTTGTTATCCAATAGAAATCGGCTATTTCACCTTTTGGTCTGAATGGTTTTCGTTTGGCGGCTAAGTCAATCGCTGTCGGTATTAAAATAGAACCGTTCTCGTATATGAATTGAGCATTTTTTATTGAGAGACCAGGCAGTAGAAAATACATTGCTTCATTCTCATTAACACCGATTAATAATTCTGGTTGATTTTTTAATTCACTATTATTTTTTGTATTGAATATAAGATCAGGATGTTTTGGTATTACATAACCGTCAATAACTGGTTGAAAGGGGACATCAAAGTATAATCGGCTACTGCCCGCTTGGCCAAGGAGGATTGATTCACTTGTAAAGGTGTTTGGATGTAAACATTTATGCAGAATATTATAACGACGTTTACCAATGGCTTCATGAATACTATCCAATTGGTTGACTAGCGTAAGCGGATCAAGCTCTTGGAGACAGGCTAAACTTGCCTTGCGATCTAATGATGGCGATTTACATTTACAAGCCAGGGAGAACTAAAATAAAGGTTTAGAGAAACAAAAGTTATGTCATGTTTTTATAAGCTTTATGTCAGTTAAATTAAAAAAAAAGAATTTTAGGAAATCTTGGGATAAAAATTATGAGGATTGAGGAGACTGTCATACTTTGGAATAGAAAAAAATATTGCTCTGAATACATTTAATCCTACTCAAAAGGTAATATGGCGGAGATATGTGGATGACACTTTCACAGTCTTAAAAAATGGAACATATCTCTCTTTATCTTCTTCATGCATATAAGCTTACTAGTAGAAGGATTAAAATTCACATTTGAATCGGATAGGGAACGAGGACAGTTAGCTATGATATATTGTAGAACTATTCTGTCAAATCTTGACTGTAAAATGAAACGATCAGAAGAAGGTAAACTGTACACTTATTATTATTATTGCTCCCTTGGGTTCCTAGTGGAACATAGGGCTTCAACTGTACGTCTCCATTTGATTCTCTCTTCTGCTGTAATTTTCACCTGCATCCATGTTAGTCCATACTGCCTCAACTCCTCTTCACACGATCTCCTCCATGTCACTCTTGCACTGACGTCCAACTCGCCGCCCTTTCAGGTTCCATTCGAGCAATCGCCTGACGCACGTGCGATGTCACCCAGCGGCCTCCCCAGTGAGTGTCCGATCCATCTACACTTTCTCCTGCATATTTGTTGGTTGGCGATTGGTTGGTTCTTGCTTTGTTTGTTCCCATAGTTCCTTGTTGGTGATTCTTTCCGGCCCGGCCATCTGATCTTTAGTATAGAGCGAAGACAAACTGTACACTGGCGTTTATAAAATACCAACATATTCTAATCGATACTTAGACTTTAATTCATTCCATCCGTTCGTTATCTGTAAAGACTGGCTTAGTTAAGTGTCCAACAAACCGAGCAACAACATCACTAAGTAGTACAACAAAGAAACCTAAATGATGAAATGAAGCAGATAGAAGAATAGCTGGTTGGTATCGAATAACTATCCTATAAAATTGATTAGGAAGATTAGAAAAGGCCAAAAGCAAAGTAAAAATCATGATCAGACTAATAATGATAACGTAAATAAGAGAGAATATAAGGCATCTACTGTTTTACCATATAAGGAGGCGACATCTGGGACCCTCTCTACGTATGATTCTCAATACAGCGGGAATCACGGTGAAGGCATTCAAACCTACAAACTCACTCAGGTAGGACAAGCTCTGTAGGTTAAAGGATACTGTTGATTGACCCAATATGATAAAATAATATAATTTACAAAATACCTCGCAATGACTGTGACGTCAACTACATTAGCTGAGAACACAAGAATTTAGATTAGATAATAATGGTTGACCTCGAGTAGATGAGTAATCTAGAAAACAGCTCAGCAATGCCACTGCATGCATTGACACACAACCACACAGTAGGGTAGAAGAGCGTTAAAATTCTAAGATAGCGATTGATTACTGAATCCTGTCTGGTTCATCGAGTCTACACCCGACAAGAGCAATAAGAATGACTCATCACTCATACCAGATATATGGAAAATAGACTAAGTTAGAAAGTTGTGTGTGTGAGTAGTGCCTTCATATGATTATGAGCGGCAGTAAATTGTGCTCGAAACCTGGTCATCAGTAAATATTACTGACTGTATAACACTGTGAGACTTTATCAAAATAAATTTCACCCATAACTGAATTGTACTCTACTACAGTGAACAAGTTTTATTCTTATACCGGTAAACAAAACCCTAAATTGTCTGAATTTCGCGGATGATTTATGTCTTTTGTTGAGCAAACTAGTTGCAGACGCGGTGAGCGAAAATTCAAATGAACACACAGAGAAGAAAGGGTTGATGAAGTTACGGAAGCAGCAGAAGCAAAGAAATGCCATCATCACTGCTACTAACCTCTACACAAAAGACTTATGAGCATGTCAAAGGCGCCATAGGTTGGAAAAGCGAGACAGACAAATCGGAATTTTTAGCATTAATAGTTCCGAGAATTAGCATACCTATCACAAAAAGCATTTCCAACTGACTCCAGACTTTCATTAACATAGAATTTCCCTGGATACTTGAAGGTCAAAAGGCCAGAAAACATGAGCCAGAGAGAAGAATTTTTTCACAGTGAACCAGTTAGGAATCTATTACTGCATAAGTATTCAGAAGGCACTTCGAGTGGTCTGGACATGCAATGAAGATACCTTCAAATAACATCAAATGCAGGGTCATTATATGGAAACTGGATGAAAACTGACAGGATACAGTGCAAAGGTGACATTGAGGTGATTATATAAATTGAAGACGAAAGGTTCTGGTCAGTCGCGGAGCGAGCAGAAAATAGTAGCAGATGCCTGAGTGTAATACGGTTGTACATCTGAAGCTCTATGTTAGACTATGAACACAAGAAGTGAATAATAATATATTAGCGTAATGCATACTTCTTCTTTCATCTGATGTCAACTGCAGGATATACTGAATATCTCATCCATGCAGTAATCCTCGAAAAAACCGTTCTTCAATACCGGCTAAAATCGATTTCAGGAGTACTAATTTGGCATTGTTTACTTCATGAATCAGATTTTTCAGTCAGATATCAGTCCACAAGACTGTCTGAAATATAAATATATGCAGTATAGTATAGGAAAGTGCCATTACTAGTATTATTACGGCCAATTCAACATGAATTATGTCACTGTAATGAAAAGAATAGCGAGAGCTCAACTCATGCTGAAGGCATGAAGAATTGTCACAGTTTTATTAATCCTCAATAAACAGAGTACTATCATATCAGATTTTCCAATTCATAACTGAATTGAATTACCTCCACCATTAAGTTAATGTGTTCCAAAAATCTATCTATATTCTGTGTTCCAACTACAGGGAATGTGTCGTCTACACACCTCCACCATACTTCAGGGTGGGGCTGAATGTTTCAACCGCTTTGTTTTCCCACCTATCCATGAATATGTCTGCCACAACCGGGATATTGGTGACCCTGTGACCTCAGTTTATTTGTATATTTGCTCCTGGAATTTAAATACTGTGAAAGTCGGGCATAGCTGCACTCCCAGAATTATGTCTCAAGTGGCATTCTCGTTCTAAGTTCGAGTTTTTGGTCAGAAATGAGTTCATTTATGACCGCCTGAATAAAAACCAAGCAAAATCTAGATTAGTTGACTCGAAAGAGATAGGAAATCTAGAGGATGGTTCAGCTGTAGCACTACATCCAGTTGCACACACAACCATACCAGAGGGTGAGATAAGATGACAGTTTTAAAATCTAATATAACAATTGAGTGGAAGGAGAGATTTATAACTGACTGAGGCTTTGTTCAGCGAATCAATTCAAAGAAAATACGTGTAATAGGAATGATTCGACACCTGTCCACCAGGACATTTGGAAGATTCTACTACCCTAACGACGACAAATAGGCGAAGACAAAGAAAACTATAAAACTCAAGTTTCGAAGTCGAGTGATTATAATTAATGAAATGATTATGAACAATAATACATTGTGTTCGAAACATTGTCAACCAGTATGTGATAACACTGTTTCACTGTGTGATACATCTAATAAATCAACTAATATAAAAGATGCAGAGGTCTAACTGATAGACGGTTGTGAAAACACGCCAAATTTTATAAAGATATAAATAAACACTCAGTGGTATGTTTTAACTGAAAATGGCTGTTTTCTTACGCTCAACTATTAAACTTTTCAAGTATTGGTTTAGTAGGGATTTTGTTTGATTGTATGGAGAATTTCATCATGACTTGACATCAGTTAGAGAACCACTGGAAAACCTGGGAGTACTGGACAGCTGTTTCGTCCTAGTTTGGGAGTCTTCACCAGTTCATGATGAAATCCCCCATACGATCAAACAAAAACCAATACTTGAAAAATAATCTGATGCTAACCAGCGACTAACCATATTCAGGAAGTTAACCTGGGGTTCTAGTGGGAAGCCATTACCAGTAGAGTACAGCCGGTCGAAGATGAGGCAGTACCTCATCGAAGAAGACATTGGCTGGTGGTCGCGCTGTGTCGTGATTTGGCATAAGCTAGAATTCAAGAACCATTGGATCGGGTTCCAGTGGCTCAATGGTCTACGAGGTCGCTTACCTTGTAACCAGAAGGTCCTGAGTTCGAACCTCGGTGGGTGCGTAGTGATGAAGAATCCCAAACTTAGACGACAGAAATAGCTGTCCAGTAATCCTAGGTTTACCAGTGGTTCTCTAGTTGATATTAAACATTTCTATCAATACATTAGAAGAGTAAAGGTAAAAATGTGTGCTTATAAAATGAAGTCGTCAATTTGTCTGTATTATCTTTCCTGAATGTGAATGATATGTCATAAAGTGACTGTTTCACTAATATGCTAACATTAAGTCTTTTCATTAACCATCACACAGTGTAAGTAACAAGGTTTTTGTTTTACTATGTGCGTGAATTTATTTTGCAAACCACTAAGACCACCTATAATTCATATCAGTTATTATTAGTAATAATAATAGTGAATTATTTATGAAGAAAGTGGGCAGTGGCTTACGTCAGGAGAGTGACTGGAAAACACTTTAGTCGGTGCCAATACTTAGGACTGAAGAAAACAAGATAATAGCATCCACCGATTGACTAGTCGATATTATTCAGTGCAGTCCTGTCATAGCTTGAAAATCTCACCGATAATGTTTCTAATGTTTCTAACACTGGATGACGCGTAGTCAAATACGCTAAAGAACATCGTTTTCATCATAGTTACAGATACACCTTACATTCGACTATTTCAGATCGATAGAAATATGCAAGGTAGGGCAGGCCTCTACAACACTCTGAAATCTGCTTTTCCAAAGGACAAAGTTCGTATTTTCAGCACTAATATCGCATCAATCACTTCTTCTGTAAGAGTAAGCAACATTTTAAAATATTTGCAACCGGCTGTAGACTTCGTTATTAACTGTCTTCTCTCCATACTGAAGTGGCAGCAAGAAACTCCGGGAATTAACTG